ATGGTTCACATAAAATTTTAGTATAAAATTTACTTCATTAATTTCTATTGCTTAATGTACCTTTGGTATGAAAATAGATTCATTTAATACCATGGTAGTAACTCTTATAACCACAGACATTAAAAACCACAGACATTAAAACAGTAAAAAAATTTTAGTTTCAGGAATGTTCATTTTGGGTAGAATGAAATAGTAGTGTTCTACATCTATCAACATGTATTTCTGTTTACTGAGTACATGACTTTATTCCTGGTGAGCTTATCATCTGTCTTGAGATAGAGGGGTGGAGGAGGAGGGGATCATTAGAGCAGAAAAGAAAAAAGCAAGAAAAATGGTTTATTTTTTTTTTAACTTTAAAGACAAAATAATAGTTTTGAAAGTCATAACTCATTGTGGATAAAAGGATTTAATAAGTTCCTTTATCTTCCCCCTGTAATACAGCAAGACTTGGGTTTTGATTATAACTGCGACCCCCGTGATGTCTCCATCTTTGCACAACTCAATTATTCATCTCCTTCCCTTATAAGAGAGATCCTGGTATGCTTTCATGACCAAGATAGTTCAATTTGAGTTTCTGATACTTGTTACCAAGAGCTAAGTCTTTCCAATTTCGAGGTTTTGGGTGTTTTTTTTTTAAAACCTGAACTTTGTGGATCTTCTTTCCACACATGATAGCTACTTATCATTAATATATTTTGACAGAAATACAGATGGTCAAAAGGATATTATAAATTGAGTAATGCTTATCGATGAACTCTTATCACATCAACATGTGATATAGTATTTGTAAAATAGCTGTACTTGATACCCAAAACATTTTTCATTCAATGTGTAAATGATGCTCGGAGACCCTGCTGCTGCTGCTGCTGCTGCTAAGTCGCTTCAGTCGTGTCCGACTCTGCGCGACCCCATAGACGGCAGCCCACCAAGCTCCTCCGTCCCTGGGATTCTCCAGGCAAGAACACTGGAGTGGGTTGCCATTTCCTTCTCTAGTGCATGAAAGTGAAAAGTGAAAGTGAAGTCGTTCAGTCGTGTCTGACTCTTAGCGACCCCATGGACTGCGGCCTACCAGGCTCCTCTGCCCATGGGATTTTCCAGGTAAGAGTACTGGAGTGGGGTGCCATTGCCTTCTCCGGCTCAGAGACCCTACAGATCTGCAAATTACTTGAAATACTTCTTAGCACCACCCTCCTGTTCCCAAACCCAAAGTTGCTTAGCTCACAGGTTGGTCGAGCCAGTGTTTTAGACTATTCTTTTCCCCAAAGTCATTCCTGAGTTTAAGTGAGCTCTTTCTTGCCTTTCCACAGTGCCAAATTGTGTTTATTCCAATGTCTAGGTATTTCCTGACTCCATCCCCTCTTTTTTATACCTGCCACTACTCCAGTTCAGGCCCTGCTTACCTGTATAGCTGCAGCAGCCTTCTATCTGGTCTTTTCTTACTTCCTGTCCCTTCTCCACTCCAGTTTTCATAGGGAGGCCAGCATGATCCTCGTTTGTCCTTTCCTCACCTGAAATGCTGCTACTCACGTGTGCCGTCTTGAGATGTGGGATGCCTTTACTTCAGTCCTACTCAGCTGCTTGTGTTCTATAAACACATCAAACACACGAGCTTTTGTTGGGGCCAGTTCTTTTGGTGGTAACAGTTTTTTTCTCTCCTCCACATGGTGAACTCATGCTTAGCTCAAATGTCACTTATGAAACTGTTACTCAACCCCACATTCCTGCTGGCATCCTGGAGCACTTTGTCCAGGTTTTGGTTATGGATTTCTAACACTATGGGCACTTTGGGGACAGGGACTTTCAGTTGTGTTTGTGTCCCCAAGCACCTTGAACACTGCCTGTGCATGCTAAGTCACTTCAGTTGTGCCTGGTACATGGTAAATGCTCAGTGAATGTTTACTGGACACACCGATGTGGATTGGTGTGCTTCTGAGTATGGGCCTTTCTTTGAGGCTAGTAGGGCTATGGTATTGTATGCAGTGGGGGGATCTGGAAATGGAGTGAGGAAAAATGTGTTATTTTCCAATTGTTTTTCCTATTTCAATCTCTTCTGAAATTTATTTCTCTCAAATAAGACTTCATTGCATTTTTTCTGATTGCAGAAGCAACATATAGCGTAGTATTTACACAGCTATCATGTAGGTTTGAGTTCAAATTTTGCTACTTATTGTCTGTGTGCCTTGCACATAGTACCTAACATCTTTATGCCTTATTATTCTCACCTGGAAAGTGGGAATTATTCTAATAGTACTTACCTCACAAGATGGTCATGAAGATGAAATTAGGAAGTGCACATAAAGTATTTAGCACAGTGTCTGGCACAGTCCTTCTAGTCAAGGCTATCGTTTTTCCAGTGGTCACGTATGGATGTGAGAATTGGACTACGAAGAAAGCTAAGCGCCGAAAAATTGATGCTTTTGAACTGAGGTGTTGGAGAAGACTCTTGAGAGTCCCTTGGACTGCAAGGAGATCCAACCAGTCCATCCTGAAGGAGATAAATCCTGGGTGTTCATTGGAAGGACTGATGCTGAAGCTGAAACTTTGGCCCCCTCATGCGAAGAGTTGACTCATTGGAAAAGACCCTGATGCTGGGAGGGATTGGAGGCAGGAGGAGAAGGGGACAGCAGAGGATGAGATGGCTGGATGGCATCACCCACTCGATGGGCATGAGTTTGAGTAAACTCCGGGAGTTGGTGATGGACAGGGAGGCCTGGCGTGCTGCGATTCATGGGGTCGCAAAGAGTCGGACATGACTGAGCGACTGAACTGAACTGAACTGCCACAGTAATTATTCAGGAAGTATTACAGCTATAATTATGTTCAGTGCAGAAAAGGTACAAGTCTGTGAGACCTGGATATAGTAGAGCTAGAGATTAGTACCCAGGATCTTCCCTGTGTTACATTAAAGGAAAACACAAAATGGACTCCAGAAGCCTCAGAGAATTATTTTGATCTTTTAAGACAGCCTCTCTCAACCAGGGTTCATCTGAACCACTGAACTCTGGACTGGAGTGACAATTTTTTCCTCTCTGTCAAGGATGCTATGTAGCTAACACCATTCTAGATGCACAGGAATGTTGGTTCACTGTGCACAATGCATGATTCAGGAACTGAGGCTTAATCTCCCCATCCCTCCATTCAGAAAAGGCTGTTCTGAGTCTTCTTGAAGACTGGGTGCTGGGACTCGGCAGTGTGTCAGTCACATCCTCTCTAGAAACCTGTTTCCTTGAATCTTCTCACTTAGGGCAGTTGTCAGAAATCTCTCCCTCCTGCCTCCCTCACCCATATAACTTGTCCCTAGAATACCATTCATTTGTTCCTTCTCCATATTGTGTCCATCACATACCCACTAGTTTTGACAGGTGTCCCTTCACTTTTCTTGAAAGAATAACATGTCTCTCCCCATCCCTGGGTAGCCCCTCTTTCACTTCTGCTATTGCAGTGAAAAATAGCTCCAAGAAAATGTAATGTCAGTAACTGGATCACACCATTGTAAACATGATTGACATCTTTTTTTTTTTTTTTTATCACATGCAGACTTCTTAAAGTCAGCTAGATACTTAGCCCTTTTCAAATGCCTCTCCTTAACAAAAATCGTAGAGCCATCTAGGCAGGTACTTAATCTAGCTGTGTCATGATCTGTGCCACCAAGGCTCCTGCTGGGCTGTGTGTGGCAGAGCCAGTCTGCTCTTCCTGGCGCCCACTCCCCTTTCCTGCAGATCTGCAGTGCCGACAAGGCCCACGCTGCCTCCCGGAAAGGCAGCAGGGACTGATTTTGGGGGGGAGGAGGGATAGGTCATGATGTCTCCTCCATTAGTAAGGAAGAAGAATACTGGGCAAGCAATTACTACTGTTTACCACAATGCATATAATGGAATATCATATAGCCATTAATTTTTGAAGAATATTTATTGACATGGGAAAATGCTTACAGTATGTTAAAGAAGAAAGCAGGATACAAATCTGTAAATACAGCATGATCCCAATCTAGTAGTAAAATAAATTATATACGCATAGAAAAAACACAGGACGGAAATACACTGAAACATTAACAGAGACTAACTCAGGTGGTGGGTTGTGGGGTGAATGATTAACTTTAGTATTTTCTGTATTCTCCAGACTTTCCACGATGAAACATTTATTTTTAAAACCCAAGGGGGAAGGGAAGTCAACATAAGAGACATCTAGTACTGGGAGGCAGCAAGACTGATGGTTGTGAGGGGAGGTTGCATACTTATACCACCTCTGCCCACATCTTTGTTTATAAAGGAGGGACAGTAAGGTCCATCCTGTCCACCTCTCAGGACCAGTGGGTGTGTGAAAGGGGCTTGAAAGGGCCTCAGGTATTTGCTGATTGTTACTCTAAAGCAGCAGCTCAAGCGCCTTATGTTCGAACTTTCTTCCCCACAGTGAAGTCGCTCAGTCGTGTCCGACTCTCTGCGACACCATGGACTGTAGCCTACAAGGCTCCTCCGTCTGTGGGATTTTCCAGGCAAGAATGCTGGACTGGGGTGCCATTTTCTTCCCCATACCCTGTTTTAAAGATTGGGAGGGATGTGGACACGGGGGCCTGCAGAGCGAAGCTGGGCAGTGCATTCTCACCATCCCCACTGCAGGTCACTGAGCCAGGACATGCCGAGGGGTCAGGGCAGGAGGGCGGCGTTGGGGAGCCTGCAGCCCTAATCTCTGACCTAAAGGATTCCATGCCCTTATCTGAAATTCAGTACTAACTGAGCAAGTTTCCTGCTCATACTTCAACTTCATTTGGGTCACCTCCCTACTTAATAAGTTCTTTAAACCACTTATGCTGAAACAGTTATTGCTTAAAATGGCCCGAGAATTACCAGTCTCCCAGCATTCCAGAGTCATAAGGAGGCACCAGGAGGACCCGTGGGCAATGTAAAGGGGAGGGTGAGGTGCGGGGGGTCAGGCCAGCCTGGGCTGGAGTCTAACTTGCTGTGTGATGTTGGGTAACTTACTGTGCTTTCCAGAGATGATCTTTAACATGAGATGTGATGAGGATACACAAGATAAAGATACATAAAAAGCCCAGCACAGAGCAAGCAATCGACAGATGTTGGTTCTCTTTCCATATGCAAGATGAAGTCACTTTCATCTTCTCCCTCTGCAAATTCTCTCTTCAAAACAAAGCCTAGTGCCCAGCACAGAGAAATCCAAAATGAAACAGAACTCATTGAAAACAGAGGAGCACAGCAACTTAAACAAGACTGTTCAAACACTAACTCTGCATAAAGTTGGCAAGATGGTATTTCATTAAACATGTCTTCATTTAGGTAAGCGACACTCATGCCAAAGCTATTTGATTGAAGAAATTATAAAAATATCTTAAAAATGCATTTGTAGAATGAAGTAACAAAAATACTTAAAATTCTTTTTTCTAAACTTTTTTTCACTTAATCTGAAATTATGAATTACCAAGTTTCACTTTATTTACTGTTAAAACATCGGTTGCCCATAACTTCTATTCCTGTTATTTTGGATGAAAATCCTAAAATGTATTGTGTTCTTTCTGGTCTTTTTATAGAGTATTCTGGATTTAACTTTTTTAAAAAAGAAACACAAGGTCATCATTATGAGAATTAGTTTACAGGCCATACTATTGTACGGATACTTTCTGGGTCAACTAGAATGTCCTTTGGGAAACAGATGGTCCCAGACTTATGATGCCTCAAGTAGTTCTCATTCTCCCCACATTCCTATCCAGTTTTCAGTTGGATTTTTTCTGCTTTCAGTAGGTCTGCCTTCCATCCAACAGCCTCCTCCTTTGCCATTTTTCTTTTTTGGTGGACTTGAAAGTCAAGATAACCAAACATGTTAGAAATATATTCAAATTTTAGTAAAGAGGCAAAAAGTGAGATAGATTCTTGAGGCTCTCACGTAGAAATAAATTGTAAGAAACTTTGACATCTCTTTTGGCAGCTCAAAGGCCTTTTAAAACTGAATTCGTGATTTGTACTTTTTGCCAGAGAAGTGACTTCTGGATAAATGACATTTCACTAATACTCTGTGTACTTTATCCTTAGAAAAATTATTTATTACAACTGAGATAATAGATGTAAAAGCACTTTAAAAAAGCATAAACTGTGAAATAGTATTGTTTACCCCAATAAACAATAAATAGTATTGTTTATAAAGAAACACACACAGATGGCTAAATTGAATCAACCCCAATGTTTTATTTAATTTAAAGTTTTAAAAGGCAGTGGTTAAGCACATTATGTGTATATATATATGTATATACATACATACATATATATATATATAAGAGGAAACCAACCCCTTTTCAACTTTAGCCATTGATTAACTAGGCCCACTGTCTATTGCATGATTCATTTTCTACTTTTTCATATGACCAATCTGTTTTACCAAAGTAAAAACAGCCTTAATCAGTTTAACAGTAACTATCTGTGTTTCTTTTTTAAATAAATAAAGTTACCATTAAACTGATCACATATGGTAGAAAGGTAGAACACACACAAGCACACACAGTCCCCAACTTAAAACATGTGACATACGAATGACCTATATGTACAAGTGGGTGCTGCTGTCTCCTCCACCCTCAGCAGAGGCCGCAAGAGAACTCCCAGTATCCAGGGATCCCCATTCCCTCTTCTGGGTTGGAGGATGTGTTTTCCTGGCACCCCTATGTTAGACCTCAGAATGCATGCTCCCCATGCAGCAATACAGATGGGGGTTCAGTTCTATGGTACTAGTGTTCAGGTTATTAGGGAATAAATAGGCATTGGTAGCTGCCTCAGAACTAAACCATCCTTTGTAACTTTATAGGGAGAAATGTATTCTGAAGTTCTAGATAACTGACAAACTTTTTTGAATGTAATCAGTTTGCAAGTCTGGGGCTGTGTGTGTGTGCGTGTGTGTGTGTGCGCACGCGTGTGTGTCTCTATGGATTTATACAAAATTGAAATGAAGTGAAGAGTGGGGCTAGGCCTACGGAGCAGCTGCTTGGCTTCCATTCACTCAGTCCTGATCTAAAGGGTCACTCGCCTCAGCCCCTTTCAGCAGCACATTCTGCTTCTCACGTGCCTCCGTCTCTGGAGAGATTCAGAAAGGGCAGCTCACACAAGTGAGAGGAAGGACACAGCTAAATCTTCTGTTAAGAATCTTGGCAAACAGAACTGCCAGATTCAACCAGGGCTGCTTTACAGAGTGAAGTCCTTCAGTCCCATCTTGACAGAATGGAATTTTTTTTCCTGTTCCTAGTCCCTGCAACTCCATCTAACTGCAGCTCTGTATGAATGCCTCAATATCGCAAAAACACAGGATCACTTCTTAGATATGCTGGATTCTCAATGAGTAAACCAGTTAATGTGTTTCTAGCCAAAGCAAGGGCATAAATGTTTTAGAGAAAAGATTCCCCTGGAGCTACAGAGAAAAGATGCTGATAAAAGCAATATGGAGAGTTGAGCAGGTGATGCTTTCAGTCTGTGTCAGAGCTGGTCTCCTCGATGACAGAGTACTGGTTGAGTGCTTCCTCCAAAGGCGTTATTGTCCCATCAGGTTTTAGTCCCATTGGTTTAAGCAACTCCTCTCTGGAAAAAGAGATAAAAGAGAGAGAAAAAAGTATTCACCAGCATCACACACACACCCTCCCCCCACCCAAATCCACATCCTTTAAAAAAAAAAGTCTTTAAAAACCAAAGTATTTTTCCTCAAGCTCTCTCTGTGTGTCTGTAACAGGAAAGATGAAAGGGGTACGGAAAGAAAAAGAGGGAGATAAAAGACTTCATTCACACAGGCCAAGCCTACTAAGCCAATCAAAAGTGTGCAAAGTCAAGGTCCAAATGGGCTCAGGACAAGGGGCAGGGCTCTCCTGTTTAATAGTTGACTGTTTTTCCTTTTGTGGATTTGTTTTAGTGAAGCTGAAGCTGCCAAAATTTCACCTGTCCCAGTGGGTCAGCCATGTAATTAAATGGCTTATTTGATATGGATGGGTTTCATTTAATGGAATAAATCTGCCATTTGATTTTTCCCTCTCCAGTCTCTAGTGACACATAAGTACTTATTGATTTCAAATCAGTTGGCCTTTCCCAACTTTCTCCCTCCCTTTTCTTTCCTTCTTTCTCTCCTCCTTTTTTTAAAAAAAAAAACACCATTGCTTTTGTTTGTGGCAGTTTAATTATGGGATTGACAGCCATTTTAATCTCTTCAAAGCTCCCCAACTGCCTCTCCTCAGCTAATCCAATTATATCTACTCCACAAGTTACAGCCTCATCTAAAGATGATTAATTATTGATTAAACCAATCAAAAAGCATCAGGAAAGATTTATTTAATCTCTTCATGGGCTCTTATTTATTATATGGAGATTATGGTGAATGTACCTGTTGAGCTGCTAACTCTAGTCCTCCTCCCACCCCAAAAAGTCAGCAGTGTACTTTACAAGAAGTCTTGAAGAGGCACATGAGCTGCTTAAAACTTATTTCTCACAGAAACGGGCATCGCCCCCTAAAAACATGTCTACAACAAGAACCCACATGGCAGCAATTATAATGTTGGTGGGAGCTAGAGTGAGGGAAAAGAATGAAGGCTCCTCTCCCTCTGCTTCCTTGTGGTTGTCCCTCAGGCCAGCACAAAGAAGGGCTCCCTCCTGGGAAAGGCCAGCCACACAACTGTGGGCTAGTGCTACAAGTGCAGAGAAACTTCTGGGGAAGGGGAAGGACAGCTCAGTGGTCACTGGATAAGCCAACAGGAGCCTAATCAAGCAGCTCTTACCAGAAGACTACTGCTGAGAGTCTGAAGACTCTATTAATATGGATGGCTGACTGGTTAAATTGAGGTTGCTAAATATTTATAAAGTAGGAAATGTGTTTTGTGATCCCAGAAATGGGGTCAGAATCATAGAACTTAAAGCCGCCTTAGAGATCATTTAGTCCAACTCCCTTGTTTAATAAAGGAGACTGAGTGACTTACCCAAGGTCACATATCTAGTGGCAAAGCTGGGCCTGGGACATAGTCCCTGAATCCCAGTCCAGGGCTCTGCACATCTGGATTAACTGCTCTAACTGCACTGGAGGAACACACTCTGAGTTCAGCTGTCCGACAACTATGTGCTGACAACTGTGTCATATACTGGGGACAGAAGGAAGGCCAGGAACAGCTGCTGCCCTCGAGCAGGGAGTGAAACATACACGTAGAAAATAACTTAGGACATAATGGGGTAAATGCTCTAACAGGACCAGGAACAAAGGAAATCACAGCTCCTGAGATGAAGCATCGATCTAATCGCCTGGGAAAGGTGGGAGCGGCACCTCCAGGGAAGTGTCCTATGCCAGGCAAAGATGGCACAGGACTTTCCCGGCAAGGGAGAGTGTGTGGAGGGCTCTGTATGGTCCCACCTACTTGTGGTGGTTTGTGTGGACCTTTCTGGATTGTGTCAGTTTCTTTCTCTGCTCTCAAGCCGGGAAAGGGCCCTGTGTTTGTGGAGGGTGAGGTTCAATGAAGGAGCAGCAGGAAGTAAGTCTGCAAGGGCAGTCTGGGGTCTGGGAGTCTAGTGTCTTGAATGTCAAAGTAAGCAGCTTGGGTCCTAACCTGTAAGGAATGCCCGGCCAGGGTTGGTTTATAGGGAAAAATCTCTGGCAGCAGTGCAAAGACACATCGGAATAGGGGAAACTGCGGCAGAAAGACAAGTCACGAGGATGTCACTGTAACAATGCATGTGAGAGATAGAAAGTTGGATTGTGGCTGTGGTTGTGGGAAGAAAAGGCATCACTTCCAAGGTACAGCTGTCATCCACTGGGAGGGCAGAGTTGGTAAAGGGGAGTGAGGAAGACTGTCTCTATGGCTCCCAGCTCAGATAACCATGTGGATGGTGACCATTCATTTGAGCAAGAGCACAACAGATGGAGCAGATTTTGGGGGACGGGGGGAGACACTGACATCTTTCAGGACAGTGAAGAACTCTGCATGACAACCAGGTAGAAATGTTTAGTGGAACTAGAGAACAATCTGCTTCCACTGAAACTTCTCTCTAGCACCAGTTCATACTACACATCTGTACTTTAGTAACAATTCCTAGTTCTGGTTGTCCTGAAGGACTTTGTGATACTGGACACTGTTTACTAATAATCAATACAAAAGGAGAAGCAGACAACCTTCTGGGGTGAAACATTAAGGGATCAGAAAGTTCAAAGGTTTGAAGGGGTTGGTGACTGCAGGAACAGTAAGGTGGGGTGGGGGGAAGGGTATGGGTGGGTGGAATGGGATCAGTAGATGAGACTGTATGAATTCTACCAAGATAATAATGAACAACTGGGGGGCCATGCCATCACTCCTAATATTTCTGCATTTCTCTGGTAACAGAATGATACTGGGGCTAGCTACCAGCTTGCACAAAGTAGCCAGTACTTTCTCATCCAAACCCAGAAGGAATATCTTCAAATAAAGTCCACAAGTTTCACCCCTACTCCCTAATCCAATTTTATAATAGAAATAATTAAGAACATTACAAAAGTTTTATGGCCAAATTATGAAAATTCATCTAAAGAATAAAGGGGCTGATATTTTAATTCTGACTTGTGAACTATTCTTCTCAAGGGTTTATTTTTTGGATTTTATGTATCACCCCTCTACTAACATAGATGCTCCTCTGAGGATATGAATTATTTTCTTTCTCACATGGCTATAGGATGCTATAGGATGTCTTGTCTTACTGACACTCCTGTAGGAGAGGTGTCAGTGATAACTGGCCACATAATTATGCATTCATGCAAATAAACTAAGGCAGCAATGTGATACACTGGAAAGAACAAAAAGGTCTAGAGTCAGGAAGTCTGTTTGAAGTCCTCGCTCTTCCACTTACCAGTTGTGTGATCTTGGGCAAGTCTCTGAGTCTCTGTATTCCCATCTGTGAAGTGGGGATAATAATACTAGCTCTACCTACCTACTTCCTAGTGATGACTTAAGGGTTTATAGTACTAGCAGTGGTAGTAGTAACAGCAACAATAATAGTGTAGATGAAAGAGTTCTATGAACTGTAAAGGAGTCCTAAATATTAGTTCTTGTTATTGTGGTACAGTGAAAGGCATATAAAGGTTTTGGAGTCAGACCTAGGTTCTATAGCAGTAAGATCTTGAACTCTCTGAACTTCAGTTTCCTTATCTATAGACTTAGGATAGGAATACCCATTTCACTGAATCGTCATGAGGGTGAAAGGTCATTATACATATGAAGTACACAGTACAATGGCTGGGATGTAGTTGGAACCCATGAGAGGCATTTCCTGTCTTTTATGTGCTTATGGAAGGAAGGTTTCCACAAGATTGTTAGGGCACTCTTTGAGAATAAGTGGGGGAAGAATATGCAGAAGCAAATAAAAGACATGGTCCCTGTCCTCAAGAAGCTTTTAGTCAGTTCAGAAGGTAAAACACACACACATTAAACAATATTAAAGGAATTACAGAACAGCAGATCAACAGGCTTGAGATGATTAACAGGCAGAGCCCTGCTTTCCCTAGCTTGACAGTTCAATACATCCTTACTGTATTTGAAATTTATTTAAAGGCGATTTCTCATCCTGTTTGGGAATGGAAGGAGAGAGGATCACTTACAGATATGTGACTGTTTTCTCTTATGGACCCCAAGGCTTACTTTTCAAACCCCCATCCTAACGATTCTGATTTTCCTCTCTATCATGTAACAGCCCACAAATACCAAAATGAATTCTTTGATATAGAAACTTAGTCCTAAAAGGTCTGAAAAATGAACTGGTTATACTAAACTGCTTCATTTAGTAAGATCTGTTGTATCTAGATCAGCAAGATGTGGACAGAGAATGGGAAGCATTAATGAATACCACAGAACTGTGATTCCACCAGTCATACGGTGCTCAGTATGTACACGTGGGAGGGACACGGAGGAGATGGGGATGCTGATCACAGGCTCCTGGCAGGAGATGGATTCAGGGCCAGACTGTAATGGCAGTGATGGACATAGATTCATGGGGAGAAAGGCATCCCGAAGCAGAAGATTAGTCAAGCAAAGGCACAGAAGCGAGAGTTAGTTGTGTGCAGGGACTGGCAAGCAGGCTGGCTTGGCTGAGATAAAGGAAAAAGAAAGCTCAAGACAGATATGGGGTACAAAAGAGGATTTGGATGGAGACTTTGCAATCCTGGGCTGACAAATCTGGGTTACAGTACAGAGATATTTTGTCTTCTATTTCAAGGGTCCCATATTTTAAGACTATTTATTAAAAATAATTCTTATTACAAAGGTTGAAAGCTATAAAGCAATATTACTTTGACATATTAAAAAGAAAATATTCTATGCTGTATTCATTTTCATATCCCTATGTGTCTAGCACAGTGCCTTGCAGATGGTAGATCCTCAATACGTGTTTATGAACTCAATTTAGCTGCAGTTGATATTATCTTGTATTTTCACAAAAAGGAATCACACAGTGTTTTATGTGACTCCTAATAAACAAACCCTGACAAGAGAAAAGGTTCACTTTCATCACCAAGATGTACAATTAGGAGAAGTATTAGCATTCTACAGGGAATTCTGCATGATGCTTTCCATGGATTTCTCATTCTC